AAGATACTAACATATTTATATACATATGTATATTATTTCAACTCCCCAACAGAATTCATTAATTTGTCCTTCCAAAAAACTTTATGACTTTGAAGTGTCTCTTCTCTAGGGAGGGAGGCGGTGAGCGGGTACTTCTGTGGCTTTAGACAACTTGTCATGATTAAGTCCCTGCGTGCCACAAATTCCTGGAAGAGCAAGCCTCCCTGGGAGGAAACTGCCATTTTTCACTTCACTGCAATTATAAATGGAGATGAATTCCAGGCAGGCCCACTTTGGAGAAGTCCTCCCTTAAATTTTGGCTCGCTTAGGTTAAGTGGGCTCATCATTGAAAGAAATTCTAAAATCTTAGAAGTATCTGAAAACAAAAAACTCTCCGGAATCAGTGGATGAAGACGTCAGTACTTTCTCCCTGGTTATTTCTCCTTCAAAGTGAAGGTCAGACAACAATGGACAGTCAGAATCTCTTGCCGTGGGGATGAGAAAGCCACTGCCTGGTGCACAGGTTTCCTTCTCCACTCTTTTTTTTAATTAAAAAATTTTTTGCTTTGTTATTCCTCACCTGAGGATATTTTCCCCATTGATTTAAAAAAAATATATTTGCATTGATTTCAGAGAGGAAGGGAGAAGAGAGAGATAGAAACATCAATGATGAGAGAGAATCACCCATTGATTTTTAGAGAGAGTAGAAGGAAGGGGGAGAGAGGGAGAGAGGGAGAGAGAGAGAGAGAGAGAGAGACATCGATGTGAGAAACAGTGATTGGTTGCCTCCCGCATGTGCCCTGACTGGGGCTGGGGATCAAACCTGCAACCCAGGTACGTGCCCTTGACCAGGAATCGAACCTGCAACCCTTCAGTGCATAGGCCGAGACTCTAACCACTGAGAACACTGGCCAGGGCTCCTCCAAGCTTTTTTAAGAATCTGAAAGGGCAGGGTGTTTCAGAACCTGTAACACAGAGCTCCCAACCACCCTCCTCCAGGGGCACTGGGACAGGTGTGAGGGAAAGGTAATTTTAGGAAACCCAGCTGAAGTACGCTGACCCAACAGTCTGGTAGAGAAAAAGGAGAAACTAGTAAAAATGGCAAAACCAGCAGGCTGGAGGAGATCTGGAAGTGGTATTACAGAAGCCAAGAGAAGAGAGTGAGTTGCTATTGACCAATGGGTCAGAAGTAAGAGATCGAGCAGGAAGAAAGCTGGAAAATGAGTAGCTGGGAACTTGGGGTCCAGGAGGGGTATGCATCCTCAAACACTGATTGAATTTTACCTTTTTTGGAGGACATGTCTTTGAAATCTCTTTTAATCCACAGATTACCAAGGAGACTTGTAAATACAGAGCACATTTGCATGTCAATGGAGATGGTGCTCCAGAAGGAACGGGAAGGGGGGCTGCGGAGAGAAGTCTGAGAGAACAAGCAGAAGAAGAGGTGATGGAACAGGGACACTGCCATGTCATGGGAAAGAGCAGAGAATACGGGTCAGGCAGGCTGGCAGATATGGAGGCGGGAAGGTGGGGTTCTCAACAGAGAAGGAGGTGAGGCCGTGGTCTGGCTCCTCCACCACTGACACACACGGCTCTGGAAGGAGTCACCAGGCCCCCTCAGCCTCTCCTGGCCCTGTTTTCACAGATTCTGCCTGAGAATCCAGCTTTCCCTGTGGCCTTCCCAGGGGAAGGATGTCACCCCCACTTCCGTGCACACACAGTGTGGGAGGTAGAGTGCACATCCTCCCTTCTCTCCTCCCAAACCATTAATTTTTCTCCTCAGTACAAAGAAAACTCAGAACTCAAGTACTTGGCATAGTACTTGGCACAGCACACATGTTCAATCAATATTTGTTTTTAAAAAACAAGCTAGCAGATAAAGACAGTCTGGAGGCTGGTTCCGGAGGCTCTGTGAGCTCAGCCGGGGAAATGCCCCGAATCGCGAGACTAGCCAGGCCATGGCCTGCAGCTCACTGTGGAAGTGTGTGCGGATTCATGCTCGACGCTGACCACTGACCTCTCAACAGATCGTCCTGCCTGACTTTGATGAAATAAATAGTGTCTTTGAGTGCAAACAAACAAACACACTAACTAACCCTGCCCTTTACGGTCAGTCCATTCAGCTATGCCACCCGCTCCTCTCGGTCACAGGCTTCTCTGTCCTGACTGTTGCCATCACCCTCGGGTAAAGGGAACCTTCATCTGGGTCTTGCAATTTGGCGTCTTCAAACTCAAGAGAGAGTCATGTCTGGCCCTCTCCGCTCACCACTGTTAGAACCACAGCTCAGACCTGTCCGAGCTCCCCTGCCCTGCCCTGCCCTGCCCTGCCTTTGGAGGAGTGTGAGAGGCAGGATACAGTATTCTCTCCTCAACCTCCACGGCTTCGACCGTGTGAAATTGCTCCCTCTAGTGGACAGTCATTCCATCTGCATTCTCTATATTCCGAGTTACAGGAAGACTATTTTGACAGGCCTGGTGAAAAAGAACAATTCATTTATTCAGCAGACATTTCTTGGGCACGTGCTATGAGTTGGGCATTTCTGAAATTATTTTGAGGTACAGAGTTTCACTGTGCCCACATGCGCACACACCAAATAAAAAAGGCAGAGATAAAGCTTCACGCTCTGCCTGCCACAGTGGTCCTTGTCATGAGATAAATGCAGAGGGACTCTAACCTGGGCCCGATATGGGAAGAAGCCGAGCCAGTTCCAACTCAGGAGGGCTTCATCAGCATACATGAAGCTAAGCCACTTTTCATAAATTTATTCAACAAACTTCTACTGAGTACCCATTATGTCCCAGGCCCCGGGCTGGAAAAAGAGATGAGTCGGGCCAAGCCCCTGCCTGAGGTTGCTCACAGGTCTGGGAGCGAAAGGCACATAGGCAAGTGGTCACTAAAGGTGTGCATGCGCAGCACTCCCACCTCCTGCCCTCATTCCTTCAACGAAAGTGGACAGAAGACCTAACGTATGCTGGGGACGACGGGGAGGACATGAGGACAAAAAGGATGACAGGTGCACTGGAATTGTGCAGGCTATGTAAAGGGCAGTTACCATTCTGGAGATAACTGCACCGATGGAGGGGGGTTCGAGGGAGGAGGGCTAAGGGTGGTACTAAGGAAGGAGGGCTGCATTTGGGCAGGGGCGAAAGGCAGGCTGGGGAAGACCTTAGAGCGGAAACGCTTAAGCTGCGAAGTGGTGGCTGAGTGGGAGTGGTCACACTGCCATGGGGAAGTGGGTTGGGGGAGGGAGGTCTCGCTGTCACCCACTTGGGTCTCCTCGGGGTTGTTTGATTAAGCTTCCCAACATTAAGCTGCCCGGTCACTCCCTTGTCCAATGCCAGCGACAACCTTCTGACCTTCACTTAGGTGCCTCTACCACTCCACCCCCTCAACTGGCAACTGCTCCCCAGCTAGGAGAATGCTCCAGCTGGAAATCAATTTCAACACAGCATTATTTCTCAACACACAAGGCCCACGTACCCACACATACCTGCAGGGGTCAAACAAGTACAAAACTGACAGTGCTGCTGAAGGAAAAACACACCTGACATTCTTTCCACATCGCCTCCAAAAAATGATTGATACTGAACGTAAGCCTTCAGACCTTTGTTGATCTTTGACTCTCACTTGCACGCCTGAACCTGAGAACCTGCCTGCTCCTCTGCCCCTCCCAGACGTCTAGGACCTGGGGCTCAGCCTGTCATTCTGGACACAGGAGTCCCGATATGCACGATGCCCAGAACTTTCCTCGCTGTCCTGGCCTCCTCAGCCCTGCCCATTTCCCCTTGCTTATGCCACCTCATTCTCCACACCCAGGCAGCTCTGTCTTGTCCATTCTCTCTCTTTCTGGGGCCCGGTATTCAGCTAGATCAGAACGTTCCCATTTTGTTGTACGGACAATCCAAAAGGCTTCCCAACTGGCCTCCAGCCTCAAGTCTCCCTGTGGCTCTGGCCACCTGGCCGACCACACCCAGGCCTTCTTCCTGACACAGTGCTTTCCCTTGCCGTCCACCTGTTCATGGTCCACTTTTCAATGGCTCCATGCTGCCTACTGGAGAGAGTGCCCACTGCTCCACCTGGGACTCAGGGTGCTCTGTAATCTGGTCCCAGCCTACCTTCCTAGGTCTTCCTAGACCAAGACCTCTACCACACCTCCACCAAATGGTCTACCTGTCACCCCCCACATACGCCTGCTTTTCCCCATGTCTAGGCCTTCATGTGTACCATTCCCTTTTCCGGAATGCCCTCCTCTGCTTCTGTCTACTTTCCTAAATCCTTCCCGTGCTCGAAGACTCACCTCAAACACCACTTTCTCTTGAACCCTCCTGTTGAAAACAGAATCTCCCTCCTCTGAATCACTATGGGAACAGGGAAGGGAGTAACATCCTGCAGACACCTGCCATGTGCTACCGTTAAAACCACATGCTTTGGAGTCAGACAGATCTGGTTTGAATCTGGTTAGCTGGCTAACCTCGGAAAACATAATCTCTCTGTGCTTCAGTGCTTCAGCCTGAAAAACGTAAACATACCTGCCCCCACCATTCATCCATCTGAATATTCAGACACCTAATACGTGCTTGGCCCTGCATTCTTGTGGTTATTTTGAGAGTTCAATGAAATGACGCATGGAAGGTGGCAGGCACACAGGGGTACTCAAGAAGTGAAGACTTACTAAGACTACCATTATCTAGCGTTGTTTCCCAGAAGAAGGACAGTGCGCAGGGTGATTTCTGTTTAGAGGGGAAGCACCACCTAAGACTGGGAACCAGAGCCAGCTCTGGACCCTGGCAAATTCTAAACAACTGTGAAAGCACCATGTGGCTGATTCGAAGTACAGAAGGTGACTGTCATTTTCTGAATGACTTGCCCATCAATCCTGAATCAACATCTTCCATCGGCCAAGGCTCTCCAGAACACTTGACTAGGCTCTTGTGAATAGGAGAGAACTTTTAAGAGAGAAGGTGCCTCGCTCTCACTGCCACCTTCTGTGACATGGGGCTGACCCGGCCGCCTCCCCTACCTTCATACTGGACTTCCAGGTGCATCGTGCGCAGCACGTTCAGCACGCAGTCCACGATGCTGGGGTGTGTGGCTCCGATGATCGACTGGTAAGACAAAAAGGGCAAGGCGGTTACTCTTTACATCTTGTCCATCTGGGAGGAATGAAAAGCAGCCTTCCAAATAGCTAGGCAGCCTGGCTGAATGGGGAGAGTGAGGGCAGTGGGCAGTCACTGGGCCTTGGCCCTTGAGAGGAGGGCAGAGCTGGGCAGCCAAGAATTGACTGAGAATCTGCCGAGGTTGCCACTGAACCCTCCAGCTCAGGAGGCGTTCAGTCGAGGCTGGCTGGCCACCTGCTAGGGATGCAGGAGCAAGCTGGCTACCTGGGCTGGGGGGAAGGCGGGCACACGCCAGGGAGAGTGCGAAGATCCTAAATCTTCTTTCCCTGAGGAACCTCACCCAGTTAGGGAACCCCTCTTTTCTACGTCTTCAACCTTTACTGGTTCCTGCCCTTTAGCACTGAACATCTTCAAGCTCACCCAGATTGAGACTCCTGTCCTTCCCTCTGTCTTCTCTTGCTATTGCTCTTTTCCCTTTACTCCCGAGCTTCCCAAGGAAAGCCTCCTCTTCATCCTCTGACAGGCTACTGCAATTTAATTTTTCCTGCCATAGGACAGTGCCCTAACTCACCAACACTTTTCCTGCTGGGACCCTTTTTTGGTTCTCCCCGTACTTAATCTCTCTGTTGTATTCAACCCATCGGATCATATCTTCCTTAGTGAATGAAGCTCTTTCTCCTTGATTATTACAGTCTTGTTTTTTCTGTTTTCCTTTCATGGCTTTCATCATTCTTTCTTTCTTTTTTCTTTTTTTTAATTTGAGAGATAGAGAGAAACATTGATTTGTTGTTCCACTTATTTATGTATTCATTGGTTGATCCTTGTATGTGGCCTAACTGGGGATGGAACTAACAGCCTTGGCATATCATGAGGATGCTCTAAACAACTGAGCTACCCAGCCAGGGTTGTTCTTTTCAAAGAGGCAAAGAAGATGTCAAAAGAATAAGGACTCTGCAGTTCAAGAGAGTTGGATTTAAATGCCCACTTATGGTTTGGCTCAGTGGATAGAATGTCAGCCTGTAAACTGAAGGGTCCCGGGTTTGATTCTGATCAAGGGCACTTGCCCGGGTTGCGGGCTCGATCCCCAGGTGGGGGGCATGCAGGAGGAAGCTGATCAATGATTCTCTCTCATCATTAATGTTTCCATCTCTCTCTCCCTCTCCCTTCCTCTCTGAAATCAATAAAAATATATTTAAAAAAAGAAATATTCTTAAAAAAATACCTATCACTTAGTGTGTGGCCTTGAAAAAGTAAGAAGCACCCTCCTAGGCTCAGTTCCATCATCTTTAAAATGGGCATAACAGCCCGGCCAGTGTGGCTCAGTGGTTGAGCACTGACCCAGGAACCAAGAGCTCACTGGTTTGATTCCTGGTCAGGACACATGCCCAGGTTGCAGACTTGATCTCCAGTAGGGGGCGTGTAGGAGGCAGCTGACCAATGTTTCTCCCTCATTAGTGTTTCTATCTCTCTATCTCTTTCCCTTCCTCTCTCTCTAAAATCAATAAAAACATATTTTAAAATGGGGATAATACTACCTGCCTCCATCAGCTATTATGAAGACAAAAAGAGATAGTCTATGTGGGCTCCTAACACAGTGCCTGGCATGTAGGAGGCACTTAATAATGGAAGAGAGAGAGAGAGAGAAGAGAGAGAGAGAGGAAGAGAAACATTAATGTGAGAGAGAAACATCAATCGGTTGCCTTCCCGTGCATGCCCCTGTGCCCTGACTGGGAATGGAATCCACAACCTTTCCGTGTACTGGATGATGTTCCAACCAACCGAGCCACACCAGCCAGGGCTCTCTTCTTACTTTTTACATTTTACCTGGTGATCTTATTTACTTTCATGGTTTGTTATCACTTCTCTGCTCATGCAATTCAAACTGCTATCTTCACCTTGAGTACCCCTCTGCAGCTTCAGCCTTTTATTTTCTACTGTCCAATGGGCATCTCTTCTAGATTCTGAACAGTGATTCCTCAATTGAGCTAGGAATCAGAATTACTTGGGGAGTTTACTAAGAAAAAGTTTTATTAAAGGCCGCCTGAGAGCCCTAACTGGTTTGGTTCAGTGGATAGAGTGTCGGCCTGTGGACTGAAGGGTCCTGGGGTCGAGTCCAGTCAAGGGCGTGTACCTTAGTTGCGGGCACATCCCCAGTGGGGGGTGTGCAGGAGGCAGCTGATCGATGTTTCTCTCTCATCCAATGTTTCTAACTCTCTATTCCTCTCCCTTCCTCTCTGTAAAAAATTAATAAAATATATTTTTAAAGGCCGCCTGAGAGCTGTCAGATTGTATGGGAGGGAGGCTCAGGATTAAGTATCTTTTAAACAAGTGACCTATCTATGTCTTCTGTAACCAGCTTGGCCTGCTCCTCAGATGGAGCCACCAAAGCTCATCACATTTATCGAGTCAAAACCTAACTCTTTTCAAATGAAATAGGTTTCCCCACTCTCCAGGTGGCACACAACTCCCCTTGCTGTCTAAGTCCAAAGCTGGGTGTCATCTTTGACTCCTTTCCTTTTACTGCCCCAAGTCCCATGCATTCTGCCTCCAAAATGTCTGTCCAACCTGGTCACCTGTATCCCCACTGCCACAGTTCAGGCCTTACCATCTCTTTGACCCCTTAATTGTTCCCCTGCCTCCTGCCCATCCTAGAGCTGTTTTGAGAGCTTTTGACGGCTCATCTCAAAACTATTCTTTGAGTCTCTAATTCCCTCCTACGAGACACGGTGTCTTCCTGTGGTCACCATGCCCCAAATCTGACCATGCCCCAATTCCAGGGCACTGTCTGAGAGGAAGGCAGAGGCCAAGAAATAAAGGAGTTTCCCCAAGCACCCGAGATCTGGCCTCTTCACTTACACACTATCTACAAATGCATCGAGATTCCTTCCCTATCAAACTGACTCCTTTAATCTTTTCTACAGTCCTTTCATCATCCTTGTGGCTTGTCTCAAACACTTTTAAGTCTGCCAACATCTTTCTGATCCTTAAGTAAACAGGACAAATCACTCTGACGGGAGACGTGAACTCTCTGCCCGGCCTTGGCCTTCTAGCAGTAACGCTGATTGAACAGCACACGTGCGGTGGGAGGCTGAGCTCCGATTCTCATGCCTGCGTGGAGTGCGACTGTGGAAGGTAATTGTAAGGTCACTGCGTGTGAGTCAGAACTGCAGGAGCATGCAGCCTGGGCTCACCTGGGCACTCCGGAGCGTCTGCAGGGCCAGCTGCTGAGCTTTCGGGGACACGGAGGGCAGTAACGTTATCAGACCTTTGTACACTTGATTCTGGTACTTGGGATTACCATGGAGCAAAGAATCCAGCAGAACCTGCACTTCCTCCTGGGTCTCTTCTGACTTAGACTTTGCCAAAAATTCTGCTATGGATCGTACACCTGAGCAAAAAGGAGAGGAAATGCTAAATTGGAAGGGATTTGTGAAAACAATCCTCACTCAAGATTACATAACATTGGATGAAAGAAGGTGAAGGGATTAAGCAAAAAAACATATGTATAACACATAGACATAGACAACAGAGTGGTGACAGCCAGAGGGAAAGGGGGGTGGAGGGTAGCTGGAGGTGGGCAATGGTGGGAAAATGGGGAGGGAAAGAGACTTTGCTTGGGGCGAGGGGCACACGATGCAGTGTGCAGATGGTGTTTTATAGACTTGTACACTTGAAACCTGTACCCCAATAAATTCTATTTTAAAAAAGATTACACAACCTGAGGTAATAGGATTAAGTTGTATTTAACCAAGCCCGTTCAATCAGAGCAAAGTTGAGGCTTAGCCTCATGTTGCATCATTGTCTTGTTCACCTCTGGCTATGTGGCTGGTTTCAGTATAGGCATCTCAGCTTATCAAAGTGTTCTAAAATTTAAAATGGCTCTGCAAAATGCACAAATTATGTGGCTGGTTTCAGTATAGGCATCTCAGCTTATCAGTGTTCTAAATTTAAAATGGCTCTGCAAAATGCACAAAAAAAACATGCATTTTGATGGCTATGTGATAACTAACATATGCTTAGTGCTCAGCAATTGTCAAAATATTTTCACAAATACTATGTCATTTAATCCTAGAAACAATATTGAGAGGGAGGTGTTAGTCCCATTTTATGGATAAATATCCTGAGGCTCAGAGAGGTCATGGGGGACACACAGAGAACTATGATTAAAGTGCAACGAGGGCCCTAGCTGGTTTGGCTCAGTGGATAGAGCCTAGGCTTGTGGACCAAAGGGTCCCGGGTTCGATTCCTTGGTTGCAGACTCCTCCCCGGCCCAGGCCCTGGTCAGGCCGCGTGCAGGAGGCAACCAATCGACGTGCACATTAATGTTTTTCTCTGTCTTTCCCTCTCTCTTACACTCTCCCTAAAAAAAAAAAAAAAAATCAATGGAAAAATATCCTCAGGTGAGGTTTAACAACAACAACAACAAAGTGCAATGAAGGAAGTGCTTTGACAAAGGGATGCTTAGGGGATGGCATCTCCTTCACTCGCCTTAGTCAGAGCACTTGATGGACCATACTGAAAATCCCGGATTAGACACCTTTCTCCCCACGCTGTAAGCTCTTTGGCAGGGACTGTATTTTATTCATCTTCGTGTTCCCAGCACCTTAGCATATACCTAGCACTCATATTCAATGATTTTATTTCAATTTTATTTCTAGAGTTATTCATAACTCGGTTTCACAAAGGATTTTAGGCAATGGCTCAATAAATCTTTGTTGAATAGATGCATGTAAAAGGATATATTTAAAATGGAAAAAGTGTTTCCAAAACCACAGTAGAAAGATTTGAGCAGATGATGAATCAGGAAAATCATAAATCTGGGTCTGGGGGTGGTGATCTGCATGGGAGCTAACGGAGTCCCCTGGACAGAGTGCTTGCGGTGCAGCCGGTTCCGCGGCACGCTTTCCTGCGGGGGTGCTGGGCCTGCCCCCGCTTCACCCAGGCCCGAGGCAGACGTGGGAGTTCGCCCTTGCCATACGCAGTACCCACCATAGCTTTCACAAATGAGCTCCTTGTACTTCCTGCCAGAGTTTGCAATAACCTGAAGTAGCTTGATGGATTCCTTCTTGTCCTCCTCTTTGATCTTCTCCATCCCCAGTGTTTCCAGGAGTGTTAGGGCGCCTCCAACCTCAAGAAATTCTATAAGGTACCGGTTACTGTCCAGAGGGACAGAAGAGTAGAAATAAGACACTTGTCAAGTTCCTTGGCCCTAACCTTTCTAAGGTCCTTTCTTCACATACTTTGCCCTCCTATCCAGGAAATGCTCATGGGTAAAGTGACACAATAGTTGGGAAATTCTTCCTTTTGCATTTAGCAAGTTCAATACAATGAATATTTCTTGTGTTTGGTTTTCTAGCATCTGTTCTTTTTCTTGTAATAGCAGCTCAACTGCCCCTTGGGGAATCATCCCTCTACCCCTCATAAGCCATGTGGTTTTGGTAGGGTAAGCAGGTGCCAGGGTATGTCATCCTTCTGACTGTAGCCATTGGTTTGGGGCCAGATGTGTGCCCTGAGGTGGTCCACTGAGGTTCAAAACTTGAGACTTTCTTGGGAACCCGTGGGAAAGATACACTTTCTTTTTGGTGTGTGGTTGAGCTACAAAGATGCATGTCTGGAGATTCTGAGGATCACAGCACAACGAGGCCTATGAATTCATAGGCGAACAGGGCTGAGAAACGGAGAAAAAGAGAGGGAAAGACCAAGTACCAACAACATGTTTTGAAGCCCTGGATCTAGTTAGGCCTCTGGGCTTTTCAGGTAAGTGAGCTAATAAATTCCCATTCTCCCTGGTCCAGTATGAGTTGATTTTCTGTATTTCATGACCAAGAGGATGCTGACTAGTAAAGGGTCAATGGAGAACATGGGATGGAGGAGCAACTAGAACAGGAGCACAGCTGGCATTACCCCTGGGTCCATCCTGGGGGCTACTAGGTACCCACAGATAACTAGAAGCCCTGGTCCCATGTGGTGTGGATGCCAAGGACACCATGAGCCCGATATGCAACTGAGAACCCAGAATCTCTCCAGAACAGAACTTACCTGTTTACAGATGTTAAGAAGATGCCAATGGACCTTAAAACCTTCTCTAAGCTTGAGCCGGTCATATAGCTGAATGACAAGTTAAAGAGTGAATTTCAGGGAGGTTTCCCACACAGAAACCGGACCTTGTGTCTGATCACTGGCACCATCAATGACCTAGGATGACCTTTTACCTGAGAAGGGCCACTAGGTTGAAGAAGGGGCGACACATGTGGGGTAGGGAGCGGGGGTGCTGGCAGGCATGTTCATGGTTCTCCAGGAAGCTCTCCTGGGACAGTTCAGCCACCGTGGCTCTGACAGGCTCTCTAGAGAGCACGGAGGCTCTGAGGAACAAAGGCTGCCTGGAGAAAGCCTCTCTGCCACCACCATTGCACCCTTGGGTCTCAGCATGGTTCATTACTTTGTGCCTCATTTTTAGACTTCTCTAAAAACAATCAGCTTCATCATTAATTCCCAATTTTGTACTTGCTCGAAGCTTTACCCTGGAGGTCACTATCTTTATGAAGAATTGCATGTCGTCCTAATAAGAACAACAGGAGATAGCGGAAAAATTAAACTCTGATTTAAAACAACCTCGGTATTTAATGTTATTTTTAATGTGAGCCTTTGCGAAAAGCTTCATTGTAATAAAGCACCCAGAGCACGCATCAGCTTGGATACAAGGTATGAAATCAAACCACAACAGAAAAGGAACCAGTCAACAATTACTAGGCTCATCACACATCACAGGCTCTTAGAACACTTAAGAAATTAGCTGAAATTATTGCAGCTCATGGAGGATAACTGAGAGCTTCCAAGACTGATAAAGGCTAATGTCACGGGTTGGAGGTAATGGTGCTTTGTTGGGGGGGGAGGGTGCGTGAGGCAAATTATCTCTGCCGCACCCTGGTTCCCAGGATGCCAATAGACGTAGAGACAGATTGGCTCATTAGGAAAGGCTCTTTACTACAGAAACAGTGTTTGCTCTTGCCTGTTGCCGCTATAGCTGGGGGCCTGCCTATCAGCTGACATGGTAGTCCCTCCGTTCCTACCTTGTCTGCCCCTGCTCCCCCGAACCCCAGCCCCCATTCCTGCCTCAGTGCATTTTCCCTCTTTTCTTCAGTTACCAGCTAGGCTGACCAACTTTCACCACCTCCTGTTTCCTCTGTCCCAGGCAAGTCCTATGTTCACAGCCACTCACAGGCATTCTTGGTCCATTATTTCAGCAATTAGTTCCAGAAGTCTGCCACAATACCAGCGGTAGCTAACAAATGCCAAGCATTCGTTGTGTGCCAGGCACTGTGCTGATGACGTTGCTTGCATTGTCTCAATGAATGCTCACCGCACCCTGCAGTGGGTGCTATTAGTATTTCTTTCTTTCTTTCTTTTTAAAAAATATATTTTTATTGATTTCAGAGAGGGAGAGGGAGACATAGAAACATCAATGACGAGAATCATTGATCAGCTGCCTCCTGCATGCCCCACACTGGGGATGGAGCCCGCAACCCAGGCATGTGCCCTGACCGGGAATTGAACCGTAACCTCCTGGTTCATAGGTCGATGCTCAACCACTGAGCCACGCTGGCCAGGTGGTATTTCCATTCACTTCATGAGCAAACAATCTCAGACAGGCTAATGACCGGCCCGAGGTCCCAATGCTAACTGATGGAACCAGGATATGAACCTAGGCCAGTGATGGCGAACCTTTTGAGCTCGGCGTGTCAGCATTTTGAAAAACCCTAACTTAACTCTGGTGCCGTGTCACATATAGAAATTTTTTGATATTTGCAACCATAGTAAAACAAAGACTTATATTTTTGACATTTATTTTATATATTTAAATGCCATTTAACAAAGAAAAGTCAACCAAAAAAATGAGTTCGCGTGTCACCTCTGACACACGTGTCATAGGTTCGCCATCACTGACCCAGGCAGTCTCACTCAGAGTCTGAGTTCTTACAGTCAGGTCTCCCTGCCTGTAGGCAGGTGGAGGGAGTGGGGCTAGATTATCTCCTTGTTTAGTGTTAGAGGTGGAACTGAGGCTCTGCCCTGTCCACGGGGTGGATGGCATGTGGGCTTTGGGCCAGACAGACCTGTCAAACCTTATCTCTGCCACTTACCAGTAAATTACTCAACCTTTTAAAGGTTCATCTTTCTTATCTATAAAATGGGATAATACCAATCACTTAATAGGCTTGGTGTTAGGTTCAAATGCGATAATATTTGTACAGTACATAACTTAGTGCCTAGAAAAAGACTCAATAAATGGCAACTAATAGTTTTGTCATTGTAATGTACAAATCCTTAGTTTCACTCATATATTCTGGAAGTTCAAGGTTAAAAAAGGGGTTTGAGCCCTAGCTGGTTTGGCTCAGTGGATAGAGCATCGGCCTGCAGACTGAAGGGTCCTGGATTCAATTCTGGTCATGGGCACATGCGCGAGTTGTGGGCTCAATGCCCAGTAGGGGGCATGCAGGAGGCAGCTGATCAATGATTCTCTCTCATCATTGATGTTTCTATCTCTCCCTCTCCCTTCCTCTCTGAAATCAATAAAAATCAGAATAAATTTGGTGATGAGGCAAAGGTGGAAACCATAGCAGAGAAAGAATAAAGTCCCTAAGGAGATAGGAGGGGATTCAAGTGCAATACTAATAGAGGATTAGTGCTAGATGGAAGGAATACCGACTAACTCTGACGGGCATGAAAGAGGTTAGGAGTGAGATGAGGATATATTTATAGGTTGGAAAGACAAGAAATTGAGAGAGTTCTTGATTCTTGGATGATATTTGACCACCAGATGTCCGGTTCTAAAATCTTAGAATGGAGAAAAGAGCTCCCTCAATAATCGCGCCTCCTTTTTTCTTTTGAAGATGGCCTATTTTGTTTGTTTGTTTTTTTCTCTCTCTCCTGTTCAGCAAAGGATACGTGAGTCTAAGCCAGGTGGTCAAGCGTACCAGGAACAAGCTGGCTCCCTGGGAAAACTCCTGCTCCAGCTCAGAGGCAGTCTTGCCTTGGTTGCTTTCAATGAAATTGTCAAGGATGTGACTCCTTGCGGCTTTCCCAGCATTGTCCCAATCCTGTAAAAAGCTCAAGAGCCGGCTGATTGCTGCCTGCTCCTTTATAGACGTCATGGTCAATCAGGCGTGAGGTTGGCTACAGAGGAAGGAAAACAGACAGGTTACCAAAGTGTTCAGAACCAGGCGAGTCCTGCAGGTTACTCAGGGGCTTCGCTCTTCAGGCGACCAACTGGAAACAGGCGAGCCTGTCACCCGCATGGATGCAGTGAGATTCAGCATACACCTCTACGACTGGTCACCTGCTGCTCGAACAGCGAAGCTGTGTTGTAACGAATTACAAATATCGAGGTAAATGCCGGCCTCGAATCGAAGGGCTAAAATTTTAGCTCTTTGGCATCTTTGCGGATGCCAGCAACTAAAAGGACCACAGGCTCCAGTTGAGATGAAGGTGCCTGATAAAAACCTGGGCCTGTCTTACCCGTCACTTCACACAGGGTCAGAGATTTAGGGACTTTAGAGGCCTGTCCCCCTCTTAAATACTCCGTAACCTTGTACCTTGGGCTTCTATACTATTTCTCTTAAAAACAACTTTAAAAAAACCCTCACCTGAGGATATGTTTTTATTTATTTTATTTTTTAAATCCTCACCTGAGGATATGCTTAGAGAGAGGAAGGGAGAGAAACATCGATTGATTGTCTTCCAAAGGTGCCCCAACCAGGGATTAAACCCGCCACCTTTTGGTGCACGGGACGATGTTCCAACCCAGCCACTCCGGCTGGGCTGTGTTTATTGATTTTAGAGAGAGAGAAAGGGAGAGGGAGAGAGAAACATTGATGTGAGAGAGAAACATCTATCGATTGCCTCCCTGTAAATGCCCCAACTGGGGATCGAACCTGCAACCTTTCCAACCAACTGAGCCGTCCAGCCAGTTTTAAAAAACAACTTTAAAAAAAGTTAGTGGGAAGAAAAAGTTCCCATTCCATAGTTGGATTAATGGGCTGTGGTTTGTAGGAGCCTGTGTCCTTGGGAGAGTGTTTTTAGTGGGGGGAGGGAAGGTTTAAAATAAACCCGTTTTCCAAAAATAGTTGTGATTGAAAGTGTTATTATCCATAACAAATGCTAGTGCTGATGGGAGAGAGGCATGTGTGATTCTTTTGTCTAACAGACAAGTGAAAGTCATATTTCACATTATCATGGGGTTTTCTGTGATTTACAGAATATTTGTGAAACATTACTTGCAGTGGCCATGATTGATATGGAGAGAACAGCTTGTGTGTAGGGGAGATGGGTATTTCACGAAGACGGTTCAACATGAAATTTACAGTCCCATAAAGTGCTTCTACATCTTTGCCAGAGATCTAGTTAAAAGGACTTTACAGTCTGAAACATCCTAAAATTGATTCTAAATTAACGTTTCCTCACATGTATTTGAGATATTGATGGGGCCCAGCTATCAGGATTTTATTAGGAAGCAATAACCTGGAGCATGCTGAGACAGACAGACATACACACCAACCTCCGCTCCTCCCCAGAGGACACTGGCTATGGGCTCCCAGGAAGGGCGTCACGTAGCCTCCAGGACAGAGACAACCACGGATCCTGTCAGCCTCGACAGCCAGATGAACAGCTGTGGGTCAACCTAAACACAAAAATGACCAAAACCCTTCAAGGGATCATGCATCAATCACTGTGAATATTACAGCCCTACGTCCGAGAATAACTCTCAGAGCCCATGGCCATCTTCAACAGCCAAACTGGCCTCAAGGAAATGGGGTGAGTGGCTGTTCTGGACCCCAGGGAGGAGGGGTTGAAACATCACCTTTAGCTTAATCAGGCAGGAAAGCACCTGGTGTCCCTGCCTGCTGTGGATGGACCCATTCTAGAATCAAAACTCAAAGTGCTATTGCAGATGCACCCAGCAATTCTAGGACACCAGGGGCAGGAAACTTTCAGCGGGATCTTAAGGCCACTCAAGGTTCCCTTGAATCTCAGTTTTCCCCGTCTTCTTTTTTAAGACAGAAAACAAACAAATGGCAGCATGGAAGATCACAGTGATATAGCTCTAAATCAGTGACTATGTAGTGACGGCCCATCACAGTGGTTCTCAACCTTCTGGCCCTTTAAACACAGTTCCTCATGTTGTGACCCGACCATTAAATTATTTTCGTTGCTACTTCATAACTGTAATGTTGCTACTGTTATGAATCGTCATGTAAATATCTGATATGCAGGATGGTCTTAGGCGACCCCTGTGAAAGGGTCGTTCGACAGCCAAAGGGGTCGCGACCCACAGGTTGAGAACCGCTGGCCCATCACATTGGCACCGTGCAAGGTGCTGTGGGAGATGCAGAGATGAAGATGGCACAGCCGGGGCCCGTGAGGAACTCCAGATCTTGTGGTAGAGTGAAGAGCATCAGATTTGACATCAGACCGGGTTCAAGGTCCACTCCCCACTCTTGATAGTAAAACATCAATAGTACCTGCCTTATTCCTTGCTATTCTCCAGTCTCACTCCAGAGGCAGCCACTTTCAACTCTGTTGGCTATTTCTTCTATTTACTTCTATAATCCCAAATAATGAGTTTATACTACTTGGCATGGGCTGAGTTGTGTCCCCCTCGTCCCCTAGCATTCAGTATCTCAGAATGTGACTGTGTTTGGAGATAGGGGTCTTTAAAGAGGTAATTAAGTTAAAATGAGGTCATTAGGGCAGATCCTAATCCAATATAACTTGTGTCCTTATGAAATACTAGAGGCCCAGTGCACAAAATTCGTGCATGGGTAGGGTCCCTAGCAGCTGCCAGCCACTGGCTGGGGCCTTCCTTTGTTCCGCGCTGCCCCCTCGTGGTCAGCGCACATCACAGCGAGCGATCGAACTCCCAGTCGGTTGAACTCCCGAGGGGACACTTTGCATATTATGCTTTTATATATATAGATTAGGGCACAGACGCACAGAGGGAAGATCGTGGGAAGACAACAGAAGTCAGCCATCTACAAGCCAAGGAGAGAGGCCACAGAAGAAAACAACCCTGTAACACTTGCCCTCGAACACCTCAATCAGAGCCTCCAGAACAGAGATAAGTTTCTGCTGTTTAAGCCAGTCTGTGGTGGTACTTTGTAATGGGAGCCTAGCAAACTAGTACATTACTATTATTGGATTTGTCAATATTATAGATTATGTATATTCTGGCAGTTGAGGAATTAGCTCTTGCACCACTCTAACCCCTATTTTTACTCCCTTGTCCTCACAATACTATAGTTTCCCACAATTTATAGTTAAATCAATAGTTAATGTTTACATTATTGGCCAAATAAACACTGTGCATTCAAGCTGTAACCTATTAGATTTTCTGTCTCTTATAAATTGGTTTCACCTGGAGTTAATTTCTTTTTCCAATTGCTTAATTTTCCATGTACCTAGAGCTATTTTCTTCCAAATGTTCCAAACATGTAACAATTTTTCTTCTAAATATTCAGTCCTAAGTGATTGGTTCCATCTTTTCCCTGGAGACTCTGCCCATTGTCTTTTGCTCATTTGGACCCATTGCTTACTAAGCCAGGTGCACCAGTGCCCTGGGATTTCCTTTTGTCAGTCTTCTCTGTTGATTGCCCTATTTCCTGGATTCATCTCATCTTCCTTCTTGGTTTACACTCTCTTTTTGTTGAAGCACGTTCTCTAGTAGCTTCCTAAGAAATGAAAAATATTTTTTTCTGTGTGTCCTTAGAAGTCTGAAAATATTTTTGGCCTCATGTTAGATTGGTTGGGTATATAATTCCACTTTAGAAATAAGTTTCCCTGGGCCCAGCTGGCATGGCTCAGTGTTTGAGCATTGACCTATGAACCAGGAGGTCACAGTTTGATTCTCGGTCAGGGCACATGCCGGGGTTTCGGGCTGGATCCCGAGTGGGGGGCCGGGGTTTTGGGCTGGATCCCGAGTGGGGGGCGTGCAGGAGGCAGTTGATCAATGATTCTTTCTCATCAATGATGTTTCTCTCTCCCTCTCCCTTCCTCTCTGAAATCTATATATATAGATTGGCTGTTGAGAGAGGAGCTCTGAGGTGGGGGCAAAATGCTCTCCCTACAGACTTCAGCCAGTTTCCATGTTTAGCTCCATACCTCACTTCTGACCTTCTATGGTAACTTGTGCTTCCAAACATTAAGCCTCTTGGAGGTTAAACTCGGTGAACTGATTTGCTTCTTGTTGGTAATCTCCCCTTGCAGACACTTAATTTGTCTATATATATATATATCCTATAAAATAAAAGCCTACTATGCTAAGTGTCCGACTGTTCAACCAGTCGCTATGACGAGCACTTACCACCAGGGGGTAGACGCTCTGACCGGTAGATTAGCTTGCTGCTGGAGTCTGGTGGATTGGGACTGGGCGAGATGGGCTGGACACGCCCTGGAGCCCTCCTGCGGTCCCTCTCTGGCCCCGATTGTGCACCGGTGGGGTCCCTCGGCCTGGCCTGTGCCCTCTTGCAATCTGGGACCCCTTGTGGGATGTCAGAGAGCTGGTTTTGGCCGATCCCCACAGGTCAGGCTGAGGGACCCCACCAGTGCACGAATCTGTGCACCAGGCCTCTAGTATATATATGAAATATATATGTGAAATAAGCTTCCCTGGGACTTAACCTCCCCAGTATTGCTGTTGAGAAGTCTGACTTCATTCTGATTCCTGTGCCTATGTCTCTGGATTGTTTTTTCACGCTGTTGTTTTTTTGTTTTTTTTTAAATTATGGCATTTCTTTTCTTAAAAATATATTTTAGAGAGAGGAAGGGAGAGGGAGAAAGAGATTGAAACATCAATGATGAGAGAGAATCATTGATCGGCTGCCTCCTGTACACTCCCCATTGGGGATTGAATCCACAACCCCGGCATGTGCTCTTGACCAGAATCGAACCCAGGACCCTTCAGTCCACAGGCTGACGCTCTATCCATTGAGCCAAACCGGATAGGGCTGTTTTTTCACTTTTGATGCTTTTAAAACCTCTTCTGAAATTGTATGATGATAGGCCTTGGTGCAGGTCTTTTCATTTATTATGCTAGGCCCTCGGTGGGCTCTTTTAATCAGGTGCTGTGACCTTCAATTTTTAGAAATTTCTTTATTAGGCAAGATTAGTCTTCACTGAGGAACTAAAAAATGTCAGTTAGTGGAGGTTTTTTTTTTCCTTCTGGGGTCCTCAGGGCCTCCAGAGACTTTTCTATTTTCCCAGGGAGGGAAAGTGGCCTTGATAAATGCCTGGCTACTGGCATCCTGGGGGTTGGGTGGGGAGGGCTTGTGGGGGAACCACAGTGCAATGTATAGCCCTCTCTCCATACTGTTTTCCATCCTATATCCCTGATATTAAAATTATGCCTGAGGGCCCAGCCAGTGTGGCTCAGTTGGTTGAGCATCCCATGCATCAAGAGGTCACTGGTTTGATTCCCAGTCAGAGCACATGCCCAGGTTGCAGGCTCAATTCCCAGTATGGGGGCATGCAGGAGGTGGCCAATTGATGTTTCTCTCTCTCTCTCTCCCCCTCTCCCTTCCTCTCTCTCTCTCAAAATCAATTAAGAAAAAAACATATTAGCCTGACTGGTGTGGCTCAGTGGTTGAGTCTTGACCTATGAATCAGGAGGTCACGGTTTGATTCCTGGTCAGGGCACATGCCTGGGTTGTGGGCTCAATCCCCAGTGGGGGGTGTGTGGGAGGCAGCCAATCTATGATTTTCTCTCATCATTGATGTTTCTATCTCTCTCTCTTTTTCTCCCTTCCTCTCTGAAATCAATAAAAATATATTTAGCCCTGGTCAGTTTTGCTCAGTGGATAGAACGTCGGCCTGCAGACCAAAGGGTCCTGGATTTGATTCCATCAAGGGCACGTACCTTGGTTGCAGGCTCCTCCCTGGCCTGGGCCCTGGTTAGGGCGCTTGCAGGAGGCAACGAATCAATCAATGTGTTTCTCTCACATCGATGTTTCTGTCTTTCTCTCTCTCTTTCACTCTCCCTAAAAAATCAATGGAAAAATATCCTCGGGTGAGGTTTAACAATAACAACAAAATGATACACACACACACACACACACACACACACACACACACAATTAAAAACATATTAAAAAGTTATGCCTGAGGTGCCTGAGTATGGAGGCCTCCAGAGTTCATTTTCCTTTCTCCTTATGCAGCAAGGGAGTTTAGAGTAGTAGTTTGGCTGTTGAGAGAGGAGCTCTGAGGTGGGGGCAAAATGCTCTCCCTACAGACTTCAGCCAGTCTCCATGTTTAGCTCCATACCTCACTTCTGACCTTCTATGGTAACTTGTGCTTCCAAACATTAAGCCTCTTGGAGGTTAAACTCGGTGAACTGATTTGCTTCTTGTTGGTAATCTCCCCTTGCAGACACTTAATTTGTAATTTCTTCTTCTTCTTCTTTTTTTGTTTTGTTAATCCTCACCTGGATATGTTTCCATTGATTTTTAGAGAGAGTGGAAGGGAGGGGGAGAGACAGAAACATCCATGTGAGAGAGATACATTCATTGGTTGCCTCACACACATGCCCCAATCAAGGTGGGGGATCAAACCTGCAACTGAGCCCTAGCCGGCTTGGCTCAGTGGGTAGAGCGTCAGCCTGCGGACTGAAGGGTCCCAGGTTCGATTCCG